AGGTTACATCCTCTCCAATTTTGATGATTCTTAAATATGTTGTAGAAATCAACATTGTGAATAACTTTTTCCTATACATATAATCGTCGCTCGGCCTTAGTTTCCGAGATATTTGCAAAATACCATGTGCTGCTACAACAATGAATACTGCGTATAGCTAGCCACGGGTCTGTGACAGCGTGTGTGTAAGCGTTGAGTCATCACTTGTTTAGGCTCGGAATGCACATACGCGTCTGTGAATCTGTATGCGTTAGTTATCATTCGCTGGTCAGCTCGTGATTCAATCTGTTCCGAATTCATTTATACATATAAAGTAGCGCATGATCTGTATTCGTACAGTAAAAAAATGGGGATTTGGGGGCAAAGCCCCCAACAACGAGTACTGCAGCGCACCACTCAGGTGTGTACACAGTTAGCCTGAGGAGTGTTTATAGTTTAGCGGAGGGTCTGGGGGGCGCAGCCCGCCAGCATGCGTATGATTGAGACATATATGCATTTCAATTTTTGTAAAAGGATTTTGCGCGAAAAATATACGCCTCGAAATTACGGAAACTCTCAGACGTGTACGTGTATTCCGAGCCTAAACAATCGACGACTGAACGCTTACACACACACTGCCACAGACGCGTAGCTATACGCAATATTCATTGTAGTAGTAGCAATGATATTTTGCAAATATTTCGGAAACTAAGGCCGAGCGACGATTATATGTATAGGAAAAAGTTATTCACAATGTTGATTTCTACAACATATTTAAAAATCATCGAAATTGTAGAGGATGTTCTCTATAATTACCTTTTTTTTATGTATGTTCGCCGATTACGTCCAGACGGCTTGACTGATCGGGATGAAATCTCTTGTATCTTGTAGAGCATATTCCCAGTTTGGTCCCGTTATTTCGACATTTTAAGATTTTTTATTTTTTTCCCGTTCTTTTTTTTACCAAAAAACAGAAAAATGTTGTATTGCTTCTTATTTCGAATGGATTGACCAATCGGATTGAATCTTCTTGCATCTGGTAGGGCTTCGGTGCCTCCTAAAAGCTTAAAAAGACATTTCACCTTCATCCATCTTTTATCATTTTATTACACTTTTATATCGCAAAATTGTACTATTTCACGTATGTTTGGCCTGAATTCGATGAAATCGATGAAACCCTTTACATTTTGCTGCCGAAAAGGTTTTCGACTTGTTCACTTTGCAGAAATGATTTTTCCTTATTGTTTATAAGTATTGTTATTGCAAAATTCCTATTTATTATGTAACTTGGAGATGAATTTATCGATCGAAATTGAATAATGTTTTGATTTCCCCATTTGTAAAAATCCATGGATTTCTCAATGTTTATAACAATTACTACTGCAAAATCTCTATTATAAATGTCTATCGAGATTGACTTTCTTAATGTCTATTGAGATCACATTGAATGTCAGCTGATTTCATTGTTTTCCCATTTGTAAAAATCTATGAATTTCTTAATGGTTATAACATAGCCGGATAAGGGGTCAAAAGTGCCCTTGAGCCAAATTGGAAAATAAGCATATCATTTAATAGAGCGTTCAAAGAAAATCATTTGTGCAAAGTTTCAACCTGTTACCATTACCGGAGGGATAGTTCCAGAGCTAAACGTAATTTACCGTTTGGGCTGTTTCGTTACACTGTATCAAAAATTTTGAAAAAAATTAGGTACATTCTATTTTACGACGTACGTGTTTATGAATTTTTTCTGTTTTTTTGCACTGCAAAGAGGATATTTAAAAAATTCAAAAAGTCCAAATAATTTCTATTAAAAATAAATGTTTTTAATTAGAAATTATGAAATGACCACGTTTATATTTTTACACTGTTAGTGTCTTCTTATGATTATTAATCTGTAATTTTTTCAGATTTTTGGAAGTGATGGAACGATGTTGGAAAAATGAAAAACCGATTGTTGTTTATATTACCTTAATTTTTCATTTGACTATGTTCATATTGTGGTTGTTTTATTGTGGCTGTTATTATTGTATGATTTTGTCAGATTTTTTACACATGTTTGCCACATACAAAAAAAATTATAAATCGATATTTTTTAACTTTTCGTTCGCAGCGGAGTACTATGTATATTCGAATCTTTTAAACAAAATTAAAAAACGTAATAAACGTAACAAAAATAAATCTAGAGTTGAGGGACACTGTGTTTTAAAAAAGTGAAAGTTTCTTTCCTTCTGTCTTTCGTAGTTGGACCTCTGACAGTATTTATGTTCAGGAGAGCAGTGCGAAAAACATGTGGCAGACCCAAGCCGTATTTTTCTTCTACGACCTGGGCGCCGATTTTCCTATGTGCTTTTGAAAGAACTGTTAGTCTCTATATATTTGATATAAAATATTTAGTGTGAATTTGTTCATTTAAAAATTCCATAATCCAATAATATGAACCTATTTTTAAATATATTTTTTCGAAAAAAAGATATTTTCCGAGGATCACTTCTTTCAAACCATTTTTATTCTTTTTTTTAGGAACTTTTTTCTCATAAATAATAGAAGTCGCTCCAATATGTTATTTAACAAAATATGCTTCATTTTGACCGAGAATATGAAAAATAATTTTTGTAGACAATTTTAGAGTTTGACCAAAATCGACGGTGAAAAGTTAGAAAATATCTATTTATAATTTTTTTGTATGTGGCACACCTGTGCAAAAAATCTGAAAATATCATACTATAATAACGGTAATAAACTATTAAAACAGACACAATATGAACATAGTCAGATGATAAATTAAGGTAATAATATAAACAATCGGTTTTTCATTTTTCCAACATCGTTCCACCACTTCCAAAAATATGAAAAAATTACAGACCAATAATCATAAGAAGACATTAACAGTGTAAAAGTATAAACGTGGTCATTTCATAATTTCTATTAAAAATAAATGTTTTTAAACTTTTTGAATGTTTTAAATATCCTATTTGCAGTGCAAAAAAAAAACAGAAAAAATTCATAAACACGTACGTTGTAAAATAGAATGTACTAATTTTTTTCAAAATGCATTTTTTACAGACTGTTTTTAAAAATACGTGTAGCGTTCATTTTAAATCAGTTTAATTTCGCGATATTTCAAGTCTCCAGATTTAAAAAAATATGTCTGTATAAGGAAAACTTAAGGCCATATCGTTATTGCACGGTTTTTGTGTTATTTTGTTTCTAGATTGAAGCGGTTAGGTAAAGAAGTTTGCGAAGAGGAGCAGACTGAAACTGTGTCAGCTACAACGGCACATGAAAAATTACAAATGAAAGAAGCAATGGAAATAGAATTAGATGGAAGAGACATTGTAGAGAATGAATGTAAAAATCGACAAGAAGAAGAAATAGAAGATACAAGAAATGAAACAGAAGAAGAATTTCATCGGATAGTAGACGTCGTCATGCAGATAGAAACTGCTACTGACGAAGAAGAATATCTAGTTGTAGAAAAAGAAACGACGAAATCAGACGAAAAGTTATGTCGGTCTGACGGTATTCAGCATTGTTGACATGCACCACGTGTTCGATCAGATAAAATTGATCGGCGAACATTCAGAAACGTTTGAATGTTCAACAAGGCACCTGGAAATAAAAGGTCTGAAAAGATCGGGTTTAAATTCAACCCTTATTCTAAAATGCAGGATGTGCAATTATAGAGCCGAAGTGCACAGCCAACCTAAAAATGGTCAGATAATGAATACAACTGAGAATGCAGTTGCAGCAAACATTCTCAGTGGAGGTGGCTACGCACAAATGGAGGACTTTTCTACATCTATCAATGTCCCTTGCATTTCAAAGAAGAAATATAGGAAATGTCATGACCACACCGTCAATAAATTAATCGCTGCTGCCGAAACAGAAATGGTAGCAGCGGCAGAAGAAGAAACAAGGCTAGCCGTTGAAAGAGGTGATGTCCTTTCGTGTAGAATTCCACATATTCCTGTAGTTGCAGACGGAAGCTGGATGAAAAGGTCGTACCGAACAGGAAAGTACGACTCACTGTCCGGTGTTGGTGTGATCATTGGTTATCACACCAAGAAAGTATTATTTATTGGCGCGAAGAACAAAATTTGTTGTATATGCCGGAATACAGCCGTAAAAGAAAAAGACCCGCCACACCATCAATGTTTCAAAAATTGGGGTAGAAATCAAGCGTCTACCAAGATGGAGAGCGATGCCATCGCAGAAGGTTCCAAGAGCAGTGTCGAAAAAAGAGGATTAATTTATTCGACACTGATTGCTGATGGCGATAGCAGCGTCTACAAAAAAATTTTAGACTGCGACCCATATAAAAATATGATTCGTGTAAAGAAAATTGAATGCACGAATCACTTGTTGCGCAACTTCGGCAATAAGTTAAAAGAAGTTGCGAAGAAGACTCCGCCGGGCTGTTATAGACAAGCCATCGAAAATAATATTCGACGGATGCGTATGGGAATTACAAAAGCTGCAGAATATAGATTTAATGAAAATACTTCGATATTACAAAGACAACAAAAATTATACGAAGATATTATGAAAAAGAATTCTGCAAAAGAATTGGATATTTCTGCAATGGAACGATGAAGGAGAATGAACAAAACATCGTCCCATATTTATTAAACCTGGGAGTTTACAAAAAAATACAAGATATTCTTCGATCGTTGGCGGCACACGCAGAAAGCTTACTGTACCGAACCAACAATAATACGGTAGAAAGTTTTAATGCCATCATTGCGAAATATATTTGCGGGAAAAGCATTAATTTTGGCCAAAGAGGATCATACACAGGAAGATGTGCCGCTGCTGTAATTCAGTACAACACTAAAGAAGTGTTGTCTCGATTACAGAGAACGTGTGGAAAAGAGCCGCCACAGCTGTTACTAAATCTAGAGAATTCGAAGAAGAAGAAAGAATTAACAAATGCCGAAAAAGAAAAGAAGAGCGAGACCAAAAAGAAAAATGTCCGTGCAAGTAAAGATAAAGATTACGGACCAAATGCACAGAAGCCAGACATGGATGAATTTATGTTCGATCTCCAGAAAGAGAAACATCTGGAAATGCTGAACGAATGGCAAAATCAAAAAGAAAAAATTGAGCAGGAAACCATAGAACAATGTAAAAGCAGGAAATGGTTGGCTCACAAATCAAAACTTTTGACAGCGTCCAACTTCGGTAAAGTTTGCCGCCGACGCACAGATACACCGTGTGCCAAGATGGTACAGTCGCTGTACCATCCACGTGTATTGAACGTTCCTGCCGTAGAATACGGACGGGAGAATGAAGAAATTGCTCGGGAAGAATTGTCGAAAAAGGAAAACATTGAAATAAAAAAATGTGGTCTTTTCATCGACGCATCGATACCCTATTTGGGAGCATCGCCGGATAGCGTTATCGGTGAAGACGGCATTGTAGAAATAAAATGCCCGAAATCCGCAGAAGATGTTACTCCAGAAGAGGCAATAACAACAAAGAAGTCTGTGAAAGCCATATTTACCGATAGTACGGGCAGTGCATTGCGCAAAACACACCCGTACTTCTACCAAGTCCAAGGACAATTGGACATAACGGGTAGAAAATACTGCCTGTTTTGTCTGTGGACCAAGAAAGGAATTATGTCCATTCGTGTTGAAAAGGATGACGATTTTTGGAAGCGAGAAATGGAACCAAAATTAACACAATTTTATTTGAATTGTATGCTGCCAGAAATAATTGACAGCAGATAGAACAGAGACATGCCAATACGGGAGCCTCAGAATATTAAAAAGTGAAGGTAAGTAAGAAAAAAAAGTTTAATAGTATAAAGTGACGATCCAAACGCTAACCGACGTTGAGCTGCACACTTTCAGATAAGCTGATTCTATCAGCGAATGAATATAATATTAAAATATTATATTAAAGTTGCAACTTTCCGACGTCGAGTACACTTACAAAAGTGCAACCCAACTGACTCAATCAGCTGGTGACACAGTGGAGTAGGCCTACAGGGGATACCACTGACAAAAAAAAACGCATCAACAATAGTACCTCAAGGGTGATGTGGAAATCTATTGTTCCGCGTGTCACCTTACCTTTTATATTTTCAGATTATATTAATTTTCTTTTTTGTTATGTTGTAGCAACGAATCATCTGGACTATTGTTACGAAGTTGACACAAGTGTGATACCCGGAGACATAGCGATCGTCGAGATGTTGACCGACGACTCGGCGAACGAGCATCAGCTGGCAAGGTAAGCAGAAGAGAGGAATTTTAATTTTTAAATCTTGAAGTATATCTTTCATTTTTTTCCGCATTTTGATAATATACCTTTTCTTTCTGTTTCAATAGCAAATCATTTGGAATGTTTATCTTCGAGATGATAATGGACGACGCGGAGAAAAAGCCGTTTCGAAAACGTTCAACAGCTCACAAGGGAAGGTCGTGATCCGGATGAGCGCTTTTTGAACGAGACCGGGCTCAGAGCTGGGTAAAATAGGTATTTTAAATAGCAAATAGTAAAAAAATATTTTACGTCGGATCATGCATGTATTTATAAAACTAAAGTATTTTATTTCAGATCATGGATGTACTTTTAAAAATAATTATAATAAAATATAAATATTAAATTAATTATATAACAATTAATGAAAGAGCATTTGCTAAACAAATTTTCATGTCATATCTTTTTTATATCTCCTAGATGTAAATAGGTCTGTAAGTTAACGATATTATCGTGTTGTAGTTCATTTTTAATTCTTATTGATTTCAATAAAGTTTTATAGATATAATATGGTATAAATATTTATTACTCCTTACAATTCGGGACATATAACTATCGCTACTGCTTGGAACTCTCTCTCTCTCTTTCTCACACCACACAAAAACTGGACGCGTTGGAGAAAAAAATGGTAACTTACCCTAAATATATTTGAATTACATCAATAATCTCAAATATGTTATTTTTAAATTTTCATTCACTTTTTACAGAACAAAATGTTACGCCGCCTTCGCGATAACATGTATAAAAATAACTGGAGGAGAGGCGAAAGGGGAGGAGGAAGGGGAAGAGAAAAAGGAGGAAGAAGAGAAGGAGGATGGGCGAAGAGGGGGACGTGTATGCTTTTCAAAGGAGTTAGATAAAAAAAAAATTTTTTTTAAATTATTGACTTTATTTTTAGTTGTATTGTCCTCCTCCTGTTGTAGTCATAAATTACTTTCAGGTATAGGAAAGAAGAAAAATTATTGTAAATATCGACTAGACTCTGCCGAATAAGCGAGATGAAATATTACATTTGTGACATTTTTCTGATTACAATGATATTTACAATAATTTTTCATCTAAGTTAGACCCTTACTTTCAGGTATCGCGTCATGAGGGTGTCCCGTTTGGACTCCGTCCGATTGGACTCGTCCCGATTGGACTATCCCGATTGGACGCGTTCCTCTTGGACTCCGTGCCGATTGGACTCGTGCCGATTGGACCGCGTCATCACGCAGCCTATTCGTGGGCACATGGACATGCCACCGGGTGTTACATGTGTGCGCGTGTCTCGGCACGGCTGCTCGCTAGCTTTCATGGTCGGCATCATGCTGCCGAATATTGTTAATTATGACAAAAAAGAGCAAAAGTAGAGTCCCTATGGGAGCTTGCGCTCTAGTTTGAACATTTATCTAGCGGAAACGACTTTTGAGAGGTCTCGAATCTGCATTGTCGAGACATGAATAGGACAATACGGAACCCTTGCACTCTCGTAGGCACACGGACATGCCACTGAGCGTTGCATGTGTGTGTGTGTTTCGGCACGGCTGCTCGCTCCAACGATACATTGTCGTTGACGTCTCGCTTGCTTATAAAGCCTACCTTACCTTACCAGCATCATATTTTGAACAGCAGAAATTGCATTCAGCTCCTCTACTGGTTAAATGTTTTACTTAATTTACTTTTTCTAGTGGCCGCTCGGTTTTTATGTCGCGTCGATCTTTTCGGCGAAGGAGTCGACTCCCTTAAACAACAAACACAAACTTGAATTTAAAAATTACAACATAATCGGAAACGACAGAATACACTCCATACAAGCAGGAGGCACGACCATACTAATAAGAATAGAACTCAAATATGAAATAGTAACAGCTAGTCCAATAATAAACCAAAAAATAATAGAACTAACAACAGTAAAAATACCCCTTGACGCAACTAACAAATTCCTCATAATATCAACCTACAGTGCACACGGGCAGGCCATGACATTCTCTTCAGAACTACACAACATCTTCAAGTCTTTAGAACTCCATAAAGCAACCAACTATTACATACTAACAGGAGACTTAAATGTTAAGCACAAGAACTGGAAAAACAGCGTCAACAACGCAAAAGGAGTAGCACTAAATGATTGGCTACAAATCCACAAAAACAAATACAGAATAAATTTAATTCACCCAGAAAAACCATCCTTTCCCAGAAGCAACGCATTCTTAGACCTTCTAGACAACAGACTGACAAATACTTCCTGCTCAAACCCATCCGAATCAAAAGTTATCCCCTATGACAGCGATCACCTAGCCACCAAATTAATTATCATATCCCCATCACAATTAGGCACCTTCAAACTCCAATCCTCCACAGATTCAAACTCTTTAGAAAAATAAACTGGAACCGTTTCCAACATCACCTAAAAAAGAATACACACCACTATAACCCCATCAACCCAAAACCTAGCTAACACACAGATAGAAAACCACATTGAAACAATAAACAAACATATCCTACAATCAATGCACAAATCCATACCTAAATATAAAAAATACAATAGTGTAGAAAATTACATAAACAGAACAATAGAAAATCCGAAAAAACAAAAAAGCAGATATATATCCAGCCTCTTCAAATTATATAGAAACCCTAACAGCCAAACACACCTACTCATTCCTCATATAAAAAAACCCATAAAAAATCTCAACAATAACCTAAAAAGAGAATATAAAAAATCAGCATCCACCTACTGGAACAACAAAATTTCAAACCTTTCGCCTCACAACCCAGAAGACATGCATAACACTATTAACAAAATTTTCAAACCCCAAAGCCAAACAGAAATAAAATCACTAAAAATACACAAAGATGATCCGCTACTAAGAGAATCCAACATCGCTCAACACAATACAACATCACTGTCAAACAACTTCATCCACATAAGCAGCACCCCAGAAAAACTCTAAATCTTGAGTACTCACTTCCAAAAAATACATACATCCAATATTACAATTCCAAACTCAGCCAACAGTACTCTAGAACAAAGCATAGAAAACAAGATAAACCAATTCAATATCAGCGCACCACAAAATCACCTTGTTCAATTCAGTGAAACAAACTCCGCAACACAACCATCCGAAAACTTCAACAATTACCTCATCAACTTCATAGTGTTGCGTATCGCTACTTTTGATAGAGATAAATTAATTCCATGTCACTCCTAGATGGCAGCGAAGACCCGTTTGCCCGTTGTTATGGAATGTGAATGAGCCTTTGCGTTTGGCAATTCTGTTTGGAGTTAGTTTAGCGCCAACTACGGTTTTCTTGAATTTACGGTATTTCGTTTTTTTTTTTGATTGCATTTTATTTAAAACAATTTTTTAATGCTCACTCGCATAGCGACCGTTAACTAGTATAGACGTCTATTGTAAAAGCTTGTATTTAAAGTAAAGGAATCCAACTTTTGTGTTAAATTAGTTATATTTAAACTGTTAAAATAAAGTTCATATTACATTTCTTAATTTATCTTAAATTAACTTATTCCTGGCTAAGTCGCACGCAGTTCTAATAATTTTGTCACGTGCGGGGTGAACGCCAGAAAAACCCTAAGTCCTTAAAAATAAAACCGCACGGATTCGCAACAAAATTGGTGACAGCGGTGGGATCTTTCCAACATTAAATAATTTTATTAACTCGGGGCATTAGAATCAGTGCATCTTATCCCTCTTGGGTTTTCCGCACGGTTTCCCCAGGAGCAAGGGCGAATGTCGGAGAAGGTAATCTCGACGACCGTGCAAGTTAATAATCGTTGATCATATGCACCTTCCCTACGGGTCTTCCTGGTGAACCAGATCGAGGGACGATCATCGCTGGACGAGGACTCAGGAAAAGGATAGCTGGACGAGGATTCAGGAGAAGGATCGGTGAATTATTGATTGCTGCGTACACACATATATATATACATTCGCTCTTTTCCGCTCGCAAAGCTTATACATATAAATATATAATATTTTTCGGATTTTATTATAAAAAAAACATGCCTCCGTACATTACGGGATTTAGAAAGTTCAAAAAAGGGCGAAAGGGAGAAGCCTTGAGTGGTAGTGGTTCTTTTGAGACTGAGGATTTGGGAGTACAGTTTTCCGCGAATAATCAGATTTCTATTGTAGAACAGTGCAATGAAATGGGTGAAGAGCCGTTACAAGTTGCTTTGCGTGAAAATGTTTCTCCGGGTACAAATAGTGAATATTCATCTTCAAATACGTCTACTACTGTTTCGAGCCAGGGCGATAGCGACGCGCGTGTGAGCCCAGCGAGTGGGATAGATTTGAGAATTGAACCAATACGATTATTCATTGTGTATCAATGGTGCCAAAGATTTGAGGATAGATTAGACAATGCAGACGACTCTGACGCGAAGTCAGATA